GGAAATCAAGCCTGTCGCGCGGAAGATCTCTAAGTATACTCTTTTGCCTACCTTTGGACAAGTGTCCGATGAAGATAGTACAACGCTCAACCTCTTAGATCTTTCCCTTCTTCATCAGCACGTCGGAGATCTTTTGGAAACGCATCCCAAATGCCCGTACGCTCTCATCTTCATCTTGAGTCATTGTTTCAAGGTCCTTGATGGAATACTTGTTATCCTCCAATTTGTAAAGCTCAACGAGGTTCTTCTTGTACGTAGTCCATTTCTCATCCTTCGTTCGAGCTTCCTTAACTTCCCTACCAAGACTTGGGTCCACGTTAAACAGGAAGTTCTCTATAATCTCTTCCTCCGACCACTGACTCCGGCTGGCATGAAACTCCCACTTTTCCAGATATTCTGTGATACCATATCCCCTGAAGGTAGGAGGCTATGAGGCCTTGTGCGTAATAATATAGCGATCCTTGCTCTCGTAAGGGAGCGGATGTGACTCCCCTGTCTGGGGGTCAAAGACCCGCCTGGGCGGCGCCCTGTCTCTATCTCTGTCCCTCCAGCAGGAATCCCTCAGATCCTCTCTCCAATCGTCTCTGTGCCGATCCGCTATGGTGTCCCTCCGCTCGTACTCGGGGGAGCGTCGTCTCGTCGTCTCTCGTCGTCCGCTCAAGGTACCCGTCCTTAGAGCCTCTTGCGGCTCTGTTGCAACTGGTTCGCCTCTTACGTCGGGCCCTCCGTCATTGGTTTGGTCAGCCCATCTCAGCGGTGCTCCTTGCCTAATTCGTTCCTTCAGATCCCTCAGTGCTCGATCGGGCGATGCCCTGTACTCTTCTCCGGCTTCGCCCGTGGTCGGTTGTGGCCCCATCGTGTCGGGTTCCATTGGACCGTCAGAAGATGCGGTTAGGTATTCTAGCCAACTGTTACAGCCCGACCCTATGACAGTCGCTGCAGCCCGGACCCGTGACAGTCGCGGCAGCCCGGACCTGTGACAGTCGCGGCACCCCGGACGTGTGACAGTCGCGGCAGCCCGGACTTGTTTCTTTGTCACGACTCACGTCCGCCTCCAATCTTAGCTCTCGACTGCCTTGATTACCACTTCCAGTATCTCGTACCCCAAACCTAGCCAATGTCTCGTGATCAACACCCCTCAAGAGTCTCCGAACGTTTATCCCCGTCCTCCTTGCTCGTTCTCCTAGCCCTGTCCTAAATCGGTTAGCCCGCTAAAGGCCCTCCTACTGCCATCCAAAGTCGCCCATCGACCTTTCTAGCTTCTTCTATCCTTCCAAGAGCTTCCAATTTCTATTTCCTCTACCTTATCTCCTCTACGGCTACGAGGTCATCTCTCTAACAGCTGAGGTAAGTTAGTGCTATAATCACTTGCAACCTCATCGCCGACCGCTCCAATATGTCATAAAATGTCTCAAAGTCCTCCTCATCTCCATCATCGTCTATCGCCTCTAAAGTCTTTATCGTTTCCTTCCAGTACCGGTTGTGGGCGGCTAAAACCCTAAGTATTGCACCATCTATTACAACTCTCCCTAACTCTCCAGCTTTCCTAGCTTCGGTTATCTTCAACCTCTCAGCCTCTCTGGTCGTCTCGTACCATGCCCTTATGCTAGACCGCCCTTCGAAAGGTGTCACTTGGAGCACGTTTTTTATCCTTCGTCCTCCTTCTATTCCAATCCAAAGTCCTGTCCCCCTTGCCTCACGCAGGGCACGGCGGAAACACTCTGCCTCTTCAGCTATGCACAGTCTGGTATGGAGCTGGAGTTCTATGATCACTAACACTAATGGTCCGTCCAGTCTCCCTACGACATGTAATGAGTACCGATCCGTCGTGTGCAGTGCAGTCCCGCTCATGTCCTGTCGCTACTCCCCTGTATTACTTTGTCTTCCGTTGTCTCGCTCTCTGCGGATCGCTCACTAGTTTCTTCGCGTGTTACACTTCTAGCCCTTATCCTCTCCAGAAAGTCTGATCTCCACGCCTGGATAATCTCTCTTTCTTCCCTAAACAGATTGTCTAACTCTCGTGTCAAGAGTTCAGCCCTTCGCAACTTGCCCTCGTTCTGGCACGACCAGATCTCCGTTAACTTGCTCTCCAACTTCTTTACCTGGTTCAAGAGTGGTTCTTTAACGCGTTTTCTGACTCTTCCGACTGCCTCACTCTCCTCTTCCATACTCAGTCCACATCTTTCTCCTACTCACCCTCTCACCCTCGCTCTAGCCTCCTCTACCATCCCATCGTGGTAGTGCTCCGCGCGCATATAATCGTGAGACCATGTCATCACATCATAGGAAATCGAGGTCTGGAAGGTCACTCGCGCCAGTACATCAGCTTTACGCTCGTGGATCAAATCCCTAGCTCGTTGTCTGCACTCACTCACCGTCAAGTCCTCGTCTAAGTACGCTCGGAGAAGTACTGTCACAGTGTATCCTGTGCTTACCAGTTGCTCTTCTACACACATCACCGTGGGCGTCCTTCCCGGCATTCCCTAAGCTGCGACCTCGAAGAGAAATCTCGCGTCCTCTAGCCCCGCGTAATCGATCTCTGCCCGTCTCCTGCAGTACCTAATCAGATCGTTGGGCATCAGACAGTCCACCCGGCTTGTAACATCTATGATGTCGTCAAGCGTCTCTCTACTGGGCGGCCCCCACCTCACACAAAGGGCGTAGTATACTTCCTTGAAGCGGGGCGCTAAGCCCTCCCARAGCGCGTAAAGTGTGTGGTCTACTGCTCTACTCAAACGATCCACGCTCCCATAGGTCTGCCCTATTACGAAGGTAGGAAGTCCGAATCGCCAATCCTTTCTCGGGTAGAGGGTCGGATGTGGTGGACCGTATACCAAGCAGCTCCTACTCGTCCTCGCTCCGGAGAGTCTCGCCAATTGTTGGTTAACGATCACTTTGGCCAACAACTCTCTTCTCCACCAACTCCTGCTCGCCCCTGCGAGCGTTAGCCCTATCTCTAAATTGTGTGTTCTATCCGCTATTAGATATCCGACCCCTTCTAGTTCATGAGTCCTCTCGGGTCGTTCGTCACGTATTATCACTGTCCATAGGAAGAGCCCCTCTGCGAGCCACGTTCCCAAGTATCGTATCGGTACACGGCCTGCCTCTTCTAATGCCACAGGAAGTGGTACGTCGTATCCAACGGCTGTCTCTCTGGGTCCCACAAGCTTCCTCACACTATACGATTCGGACTCTCGCGTGAGAACATAAGCTAACCAGGCCGCTGAATCACTCCTCATTTCTTCTCCTACTCTCGGTCAGCTTCACTCTACTCCCTCCGATGCACCCCATCTTCCGACATTGCTAACCCTTCAGACAACTCTCGCTCTAAGGTCCAGTATGGTCGAATAGGTTCAGTAGCCAGGCTCACTCAACCGCCGCCCTGGTGCGCTCCTCTACCTCCTACGCCCGGACCGCTACTCCTATCCTGGGAAAATGGGCGTCTATAACGTCAATCTCCTCCTCGTCAACCTC